TAATTTAATATCTTTCTCTGTGCAGCAGCTGGAACAAATGGTGGCCCCAGCTCCAGCAGGAGCTCCCAGCTGCCTGCCTCGCCCAGCGCTGACCTACAGGCATTTTTGCCGTGGCTGTCTCAGGCTTTTTATAGTTTTTGCACACTTGTTGCATATAAGATGCCTTACAGGTGTGGGCCTTCAGTGAAGCATTAGCTGGCTGTTTGGGAAGGGCTTGAGGTTTGTTTTTTTCTGGACTCTTGCTTTTCTTCAGAAGCATTTCAAAAATGAGGGAAAACTTACTGGGTTCAGACTGAATTTGTGCTGCAGCATTTCACCATGAACTCACCAGAGATTAATCTAAACTGTCTCACAGTGTGCTCCTCGGATGAGAGGGCAGGCACATGTCTGAAATGGTGAGCGGCTCTGTGAGTGCAGGTGCAGCACTGCCAGTGCAGGGCACTCGCAGGGGTCACCCAACCATGTGGCAGCAGCTGTGCCAGTGTCGCAGCCAGGGGATTTCTCACTCTGCTCCTTGCCCTGGCCAAAATTCCTGAGTTAAGTTCGAGCTTTACCACTTGCAGACCATGATTGCTGTTTTCAAGGAAAGTGTTTGCTGTTGTCCTGACCTGTTCCTGAGTTACTTTAACTCAGCAATAGCTTTAAACAGGTGTCTGGTGCATAGCAAAGCTCCTGCTGGGATCATGCTGACTGCTGGGCCAAGGGCCCTCTTCCCTGCAAGCTCTTACCCTTTGCCCACCAACATTGTACTGGGGATTTTGGGGTTTTGGGGTCAGTCATAAAACTGAATAGCAGTTTCATCTTAGCCCTAACTGGCCAAATAATTTGGCTCCTGCTGTTTCCAGTACAGTTGTGTCCTTCAGGGGACTGTCCCCTGCCTGCACTGCCTCAGTTCAGCCTGAGAGCACATGCTTGGGAGAAATAAAAGATACCAACTGGGAAGGCCAAGCTGATGAGGAAAAGTGTCCCAGGGAGGGCTGCACAGAGGCCAGCTCCCAAAGGATGCTGGTGTGGTCTGTGCTGCAAGACTGTGCTCTGGGACTGGATCCCTGGTGGCCGTGTGGTCTTTGAGAAGGAGAGCACTGAGGCTGAGTCACTCAGGAGTGTCCCTTTGAGCTGAGTGCTGTGGGGCACAGCTGTGTGTCCCTAGGCCAACAGAAATAGGCTGTCCCTTTGCCATTAGCCTTTAGTGTTTGTTACAGGTAACACATGGATGATAAGGTGTCCTAAAACAGAACAGGAGGTCTTCAGGTTGTAAACAACAGGTGCTCATTTTTAGTAATTTACTTTTTCCAAATTGCATATCTTGTGCTGTGCTGTATGTCCTATTTCCCTTACTTTCCAGGTCGTGCAAAGAGCCTTAGGCAAAGAGAATAGAACTTCACTGGTGTGGTAATACACCATTTATGTGGCATCAGAGCTGTGCTAGGGATAGCTTTAACAAACGTTCAGCTTCTCCAGATTGTCTTGGAAATGAGAATAGAAATGGAAATTTAATCCTCATTCACTTTATTGTGGTTTTAGAAGCTATGTGAGTACCTACTTGCACCAAAATGCTATGTTTTGGTGGGTGGATGAAGTATAATTTCTGTACTGAAATACTGAAGAACCTCACGTAGGACAGTGCATAATTATGTAATTGTCTCGTTGAAGGCATGTGGACTGATTGGGTTTTGCAGATTTTCAGGCTGTGCTGAGGAGAAAAGATACTCTATAGACCATGCTCAAATTAGATATAAATGTCACCAGTATGCCAGGAAGAGCTGGTTGTGAGCTTGGTCAGCAGGTGCTTAGCAAGCCATGGGGAATGGAGTTCCCCCTGCATGGAGGTCATGTTGCCCAAGACTGAATCTCTGTCAGTCTCTCAAATGTTTCTGCAGCTGTGTGCATTGTCTTTGGAGGACTTGGGGAGACAAATGTAGTAGGGATGCCATGTTTGTGGGAAGAGGCTGCCTGGATAAAGACTGGGAAGCAGTAGAAGCAGTCTCATCAGCACAGTTTTGTACCTCAGTGTGAGGTAGGATTTGGCCATGGTTCACAGCCCTGGAAAGCAGTAGTGCCCGCTGGGAGCAGTAGATGGTGGAAGGGGCTTTGGCAACATCCCCAGTCCAGGTGTCCCCAAGAGAAAGGGTGCAGGGCAGTGTCCATGGCCTGGATGGGGTGTCTGGGGCTAATCCCTTACTGCAGCAGGGGACGGGAGGGTTAAGAGGGTGGCAAGAGGTGCATCCAGATGTCTGCATATGAGGTCTTGGTCTCCTGCCCTGAACCCTCTCTGTGAGGAAGGCCCAGATAACCCATCTGGGTTGCCTTGTAGGGCAGGTGCCGTGGCAGAACCATTTCAAGTCCATAGAGCTTTTGGAAAATATGTCATCAGGCCTTTCTCCTCCTGGTTTCATTGTGCATGTGTCACCCCGTGTGTCCTCCTGCTGTCGATCCCTGTGGCCATCTCGGGGAGGCTCAGCCTGTGCCCAGCGAGCCCCCTGGCTCTGTTGTCTCGCTGGGGCGACCAGCAGGATTTAGCTGCCAGAGATCCCTGGGTCTTCACAAAGCAGTGTGGGGCAGGCAGGCTGGGAAGCTTTGCGTTATTGCTATTTTTTATTGTTACTTTTTTTCCCTCCCAATTTCTGGCTCTGCAGACCCCCAAATGCTCTTAATGGAGATATGGCCCGTTTATATGTTAATTTTAAGCCCGCTGACAAGCGGTTTGCTTTTCTCCTGACTTCTCACGGTTCCTTCGCCCGTTGAAAGCCGCTGCCATGGCTTAGGGGATAAGGTGCCAAGAATTAGAAAATAAAATAAAATCTGCAGGATGCTGGAAAGCGAGGGGGTACAGGGATTGGCATGCTCCAAGTATAAATGGGTGATTTCTGAAAGCAAGGAACCCTGATACCAGGGGCATGCATGACAATTACATCCAGTACAATACAAAATGTTAATTACTAAATTTTGAGAAATTAATGCTGATTAGCAGCTGTGTGTGTGTGTGACCTAAATACATCTATTGCTTATCTTTATTCATAATATACAGTTTATTGTTGATAAAGTAATGGCTGAATGGTGGGCTGGCCCACGAGTCTCATAGCTAAAGACTGAGGCCCGATTTGTAAATCGTCTGAAATTTGTTGGCATCTGTTTTTTGTGGAATTTATACGGATGGGGAAGATGAATAGCAGTCTGAGCTATCCCCTTTACAACTCAACTCATAGATATTATTGAGAATTCATATTGCTTTTACTATTTGGTCACAAAAATGGACCTAATGCTTGTTGGCTTTAAAACACCTACTAGTGCTGCTTTCTCTCTCCATCTTGCAAAATATAAGACAAGGCCGAAGCTTAAATTAAAATCCTCAGGTTCTTATCTCTTTCCCACAGGAAAGCAAATCTGTGTTGAAAACCGTAAAATTAAGAGGAGAGCAAGGATAGCATAATTTAGCAAAAATTCATGGCACCAGATTCTGAGCTATATGACTGGAGGGATAGGTCAGACATTAAGAAGATACTGCCTGCTAATGCAAGTTCCTTAAGGTGGTGCTCTGGAAACAAGGAAAGCAGAAAATGCTGCACTGGTTCCCGTTTGCTTCCTTTCCTCTACTCCTACCAGCCTTAACAATAAATTGAGTTGTCCATTTAATAACCCATCTGCTTCCAGAAGTCCAGAAAAATCATGGACTTGTGCATGGAGCTATGTCTTAATGTCTGCTTTGTGCCAGAATTTCAATAGCGAACTCAATGAAAATTAATTTCATTGGCCTCTTAATTTTTTTTCTTTTTTAATTCCTTGTATTTGACAGGCTGTCCTTGCTGTCAGTGTGTCTGTCTGAAGGATAGCTTTATTTTGGGGGGGGGGGGGGGGGGGTGTTATTAAAAACCTGTTTGTTCCATAATTTTTTGTGCTAAGGGGCCAAGGCTAAGGTAGAGTGGCAGGGCACAAATGAGGAGTGCCTGTTACATACTGGCATCATCACTGTGGCTCGTCCCACTGTGGAAAGAGCAACTTGAGTTTCAAGCAGCATTAATAATGCAGGATTTCACTGGGATTGAGGAGTTCCATTGTTTAGCAATCTTGATCTTAGGGAGTAATTTTGGACAGCATCCTTCTGTCATGCTGTCTGCCTCCTCCCATGTGCCTCTGAACTCCGGGAAGTGCTGGTGGGAAGTGTGCATCTTGCCCTGCAAGGACATCACCTTATGGCACCCATTTCAGCACCCTTGTGGGCGTTTGTAGCGCTTTGAGTTCTCCTTGATAGTCAGCAGCCTCTCAGCTGTTCCTCGCGCTCCCGTGCCTCCCCTCTAACTGATCCTCTTGAGAGGCCACTGCCAACTGCTCCTATATGAAATCAGCCTCCTAAGGGTGACCCTTTAGTTACCCAGTAGACGGACAAGAGTTTTCAACCAGAGTTTGTAAAACTGCAAGGGACAAACTTGCCATTCCTCTGGTGATGGCAGGGGTTTGTCCCAGCTGTGCCATGCCACAGCCATGCAGGAAGAGCAGTGGGAAGGAAGAGGGAAGCTGATGAAGCTTTTAAGGCTGGAGATATGGCAAACCTGTACTTTAAGCCTTCTTTTTTTAAATGCTGTTCCCGTAACCAAAGGGTTTCTCCAGCCCTGCTGCTGACTCTGCTGTCCTTGGTGCACAGTGCCTGCCTGCCCAGCACATTGCTCCTCCTGCCCTGCAGCTCTCCATTTGCCATTTCCGCAGCCCTGTCTCAATGGCTCCCAAATGCCTTTCTTCCTGCTCCCAGCCCCCACCCATTTCCCTGCATTTCCTCAATATCTGCATCCCTCTTTGGGTGCCAGTGGTTTGAGGATGCCGATTCTGGCAGCAAACCTGCTTTCCATCCACTAGCCCCAATGTCATGTCTGTCCATCTGTTTCCCCCGCTTTAGTAATGCAAATATGTAAAAATAGCATTTTGGAAATGTTGGGTGGTTGGTTTTTTTTCTCAAAGCAGAAGCCTCCCCTCGCTAACACAATATATTTTTTGTTCTTCTCTTGCAGTCCAACAAGGTGCCCGTGGTACAGCCTTCTCATGCGGTTCACCCCCTCACCCCTCTAATCACCTACAGCGATGAGCACTTTTCCCCGGGGTCACACCCGTCTCACGTCCCCTCTGATGTCAGCTCCAAACAAGGTGAGCCCATCCTTTCCCAGCACAGTGCGGATGCAGGGTGGCCCTGGTGCCCTTTGTGCTGCTGACAGAGCCAATATTACCAATCTGTAATATTTTAGAGGGAGGCTTCCAGGTGCATATGCCCACTTTCAGACATGGTAATTCTGTCATGATGCTGATGCTTAACTTGGCTGCTTAAATTTTTATGTTCCTTCTAATGTGATAATTTGGGCTTGCTTTTCTCATCAAAGTCTTTCAAAATCTCAGTAAACAGCAGCCAGTCTTCACCATCTCCTGTGGTGCCCAAGGCTTGCGGCATGCAAATACAGAAAGGGCAACCATCCCTCACCTTCTCGAAAACAGGGGACAAGTGCTTCAGTAGTGGTGTTACTGGAAGCTTTTCTTTCACTTTATTTTATGTCCTTGTATTCTGGCTGTCCATATGTCAGTTAGCATAATCAAAGCATGGCCCATAAAACTAGTTTTGAGCCTGTGCAAGTAAAAGCTTTACAAATCCAACATTTTTTAACCTTCTTGTGGTGAGTGCCTTCTACAGAAAGCATCTTTTTAGATGTCCGAGTCATGGATGTCAGTTTTCTCTGCACCTCTAGGACCCCTTAAGGCAAACACAAAAGCCTCTTAGATCCACATCTGGGAATGTCACACCAGCCCTGCTCAGGGTCAGTCTGCAGGCTCCCAGGGAAGAGCGGACAGTCTCCAAGGGGTCAATCGCAGCCTGTGCCAAGAGTTGCTGCCCAGTACCCAGGAGAACACAAGGGATTCCTGGGAAGGGTGTGCTTGCTTGCAGTGGGTTGCAGGAGCTGGGGAGGGATGTGATGGAAGCTGGGGAGGTGGAAGGGGATGGCCATCACAGGTCTGAGCCAGGGTTTGGTAAGAACTTGAGCAGAAAAAGCCTGCATGGGAGAGCTGGTGGTGAGGAGGGAAGGAGAGAGAGCGAGGCTTTACAAAGGCATTCACTGTAGTCTGGTTATCTCTGCATGGGCAGGAAGCCTGTCAGTGCCACAACTGGTCCTGGAGGGTGCCTCTCCCTGCCTCTCTCTGTGCTTGTATGTCCCACCATGTGTTATGGCACCCATTTGACAAAATCCTGAAGCTCTGCTTTACCTGGGCACACATCCATATGCACAGTTGTCCCATTTATCTGAAGAGGCTTTTAGTCATCGTTGTTCAGGGAGAGAGACTTTTTTTTGTTCTGTCTTTCCCTGAATGCCTAGGTTTTATTTTGGCTGTGCTATGGAGATAATAACATGGGCTACATCCAGAAAATGCTATGGCCTGGTGGCTCTGTGTGGTTTTTGCTGTTTGTTGGTTTTCTTTTGTTTTTTATTAGGGAGGGAAATACAAAAAGCACTTTGCCTGGAAAGCCTGGCCTGTAAATATGTATACAATATTTGTTTCAGACATGGAAGAAGCAAATGGAGACCTCCTGTCCTCATTTGTCTTCCTCCTTTGCATCAGTGTCCAGGAGAAGGATATTCACACTCATTCCTTGAAATCCCAGGATAAGAGAATGGGATTTCCACCTCTTGCAGAAGCTGTCTGTGACAGCTGGGGCACAACCCGCTGCTGCAGTTTGTGAGCTTAAGGTGTTTCTGCTTACTGCATGCTGAGTTTGCCCTTCTGTGCCCCATCTTTTTGCCTTTACCCCAGTTTATTTTTGTATTCCTGTACAGCAGACCCCAACTCAACAACATTTGGTTTGTTGGTTTTTTTGTTTCTGCTGCACATCCTCCCTTCTGCTTCTTCTCTACCCTCTCCCCTGTCCAGCATCCCACCAGTCACGAGTGCAAGCATGCTGAGGGCCTCTGCCAGGAGGCACAGAGCTCATCGCCCTCTGGAGTTCCTGAACGGGCTCTTGATCCCTTTGCTCAGTGTCTGGCAAAGATGGAGATGGATGATGTGGATAATGCAGGCTGGAGACTACTGGTTTTGTCTGGGATGGTCTCCTTGATGTGTGTGGTCCTTCCGTCCATGCTCCCAGTTTCGGCGCCACTGGCATGTGGGAGCAGCCGCACTGAAGTAGCCCATGCAGTTGCTGCAAAGAGAGGATTTTTTTTTTCCTCAGGTCCTCTGCCAAACGCCTCCAACCATTGTTTCTGTCCTCGCCTCCCACTGTGGGTCTGGAACAAGGCACTGCCCTGGCGCCCTAGCCCTGGTGCCCTCCTCCCACCAAAATCCTCTGACAAGGGGGTCCACAGCAGCTTGCCCTCAGGACTGCCTCTTGCACCCAAGGCACTTTGGGATGGACACACAGCACTGCCTTCCTAAAGGCAGTCACTTCTTTATTTTATTTTTTTGATTTTAATTTTTATTTAATTTTAATTTTTTTCTTAACCCTCTCAAGAGAACTTGCTTTGGAGGGCACTGGCCATGTGGTAGCTCTGTGTGCTCCTGAGGGTGCTAGGTGCTGGTAGCCCTCCATAACGGGCCAGAAGTTTTGGATCAGCCATAACAACTGTGCATTAGTTCAGAGAGAACAGTGTTGTCTCCATGGGTCAGAACTGCAGATCCTGGGGAAGGAGTGGCCCAGCTCCTTGTGCAGAACCTGGTCTGGCTGGGGCAAGGTGATGTCATCACTTTCAGGAGCATCAGTCATCATCAGAGATGTGAGAGATGAGACACTGGGCTTCTTTTACACCTTGTTTGGTTTTCTTTTCTTTTAAGCACTCGGAAAGAGTGCTCCCTCACATGTAAGAGCCCTGGGATATGTAAAGTGTTTCCTTTCCTGTCAGCTACCAGCTGTTTTACACCTTTGAAAAGACAGCTGGCCAGAAATTCGATCCTCACGTAGGTTGTGGTTCCAAGTCTGAAAATCCAGGTTTTTTGAGACAATGACACCACTGGTATTATTTTCTATGCTTTCCTGTACACGGTCCTGACAGATATTCTTCAAATCTTGTAATTAAATTCAGAAGATTTAAGTACAAACTGAGCAGGGGAATAAATCAGTAATATCAGTCTATAAACTAAGTCTCAAGGTAGCACATGCTCAGTCTTGGACCTTTGGAGTGTCACCATATAAATATTTAATACCCTTTTAAAGCAGCTGATTTAACATGTGAAGTAGACTTGACAATTCCTTCTGCTTCACCCCCTCTTCCCCAAACACATTTAAATAAACCAATGTCTTTGTGGCCTCTGCAACTGTAATTCCATGTCTCCTGGGGGCACAAGGTTTAGGTGAAGAATGGAGACCACAGACCCTTTTGGGATAAGGATTAGCTTTAATCTTGAGGTGATTCTTGCAGTTGTAGGACTCTGTGTTCTGGGGAATGTGAGCTGATGGATCATTCCTGATGGGACTCTTATTTTTTCATGAAATACTACCATTGCAAAACAGATTGACCTTGGAGCCCACAGGAGTCAACTTGATGAAGAGCTTAGTTGGAACTGGAGTGACAATTGGAAGCCAAATGAATCATATCAAGTGTGACCATTACAGGCCTGAAAATGATTCTTAATTAACCACTGATCCTCTGTGGTAGCAAGTTTCCAAAATCTGTGAATCCATAAGGGAACCCGTGAAAATATAAAAGTAGCAATTTACCTAATCTAATAGCTCTGCTGTGCTGCCTCTTTGACTACGCTTTATTTTCCCCTTGTTTCATGATGTGTTAGAAGAGGTCCTCAGGATCCTGTTGGGTTTGGTGAGAGCATCGAGAGGACAGTAGCACCTAATGCACTTCACAGGAGATCTAAACTTGCACAGGTCCTTCCCCATACATTTATATCCTCCTTCCATGTTGTTTTTTTCTGATATCTCCCTTTGAATTGTAGTAATGTGTGCAAATTGTTTTAAAGGTGGCCCGTGGAGCCTTTTGCTTTTAACACTAACCAAGAAGGTGGTTATTCCTTATCCACAGCACTAGTTCCACTGTAGTATCAGCTGGGAACTGTAGATCATATAGGGAGTATTTTGAGGAGAAGCTCACTTGTTCTTCTGTGCTTTTTAACAGGCATGTCCAGGCATCCTCCAGCTCCTGATCTCCCTACCTTCTATCCCTTGTCTCCAGGGGGGGTTGGACAGATAACACCACCTCTTGGCTGGTAAGATTTTTTAGCTTCTTTTCAGACAGGTGCATGTTCACACCATTCGCTGTTGTTGAATCAATTGCAGCAATTACAATTGCAGCAAAATAATAATAATGATGTCATTCCAGTAAGAAATTGCTACTTTATTTTAGTTGAAAAGATGAAAAATAGTTGATCTTTGAAATTAAATGAATCTGTTTTTTGAACACATATAGGAATTGAAGTGTGTAGATTTCACTTTGAAGTCTGTATGTTTCTTATGGCTCAGATTTGTGGCTCTTAGCTTTCAGAAAGATAGCAGCAAATGGTTCTCAAGTAATTAAATAAATTTTAATAAACAAAATTTCAATTACTGAGGAGAGGGGAGGTAAGAAAGAACTTTGAAGTGGAGGGGGGGGTAAATCTTGAAACTGGCCCAAATGGAGAACAAACTTGTAACCAGCTGCTTTTTACAGTTTCTGTACAGAGAGAAGCCTCTGTCACTGGGAGATCTTGCTGCTCTTGCTAATGCTCTCATGATCTCTTGCTTCCACTCAGGGTGTCATTTTCCTTTTGGAGGAAATGTGGTATTTTTGGAGGAATAGATTTGGCAGGGTGCTTCATGTCTGCTTGGGGTGGATATGTACTTGCCTTCAGTTCTCTTGGAGCAGGGAATAAGGCAACTCAGCCACAATTTCAGTGCTTTAGAATCTGTGTTGTGACTAGTCTGTGCCCATTCAATGAGGGATACAGATTTTTTTATTTTTTAATGTCTCCATGGGAGGGAAACATGATCCAGATGACAACAGGCAGAGAAAGTAGAGAGCAGAAGATGGTGAAATGTTGTATGGCTGGCATATCTTTCAGGAAAGGCCACATGCCTTTTTGGAACAAATAATTAGTAGATATCAAACTAAAATATGGAAGTATCTGACCATCTATTTTTTTAATCTTTCACCCCCCCTTTCCCCATTCTGCTGCTTAGCTGACTCCTCACTTCCACTGCCACCAGGCAGTTGCTAGCATGCATTTTCCAGATGTGGTCAGTCATTTCTTCTGAATGGTTTCTCAGTGCAGAAACTGGGGGGAGGGAAGAGGGAAAAGAGAAAGAAGAGGAGAGGCAAGATGCAACCTTACAAGGCTCAGGGATGTGTTCAGCAGCACTCACCAACAGTGGGACATACTCAGCTGTCCCTTATGCTATGGCTCCCTGCTGTGAGGTAGCACTGTTGAGACTTCCTTCAACTTTTTTTTTTTTTTTCCATTTCCTCTTCCCTTTAAGCACTGTTCATTTCCAGTAATATGCCCCAAGACTGAAATCTGTGTCCTGAACCTTACAAAGGCCTGGTTCCATTTTTTCTCATCTGAGAGCTGATTGACTAGTCGATAAGCAACTGTTCAAAAAGGACTGATGTGTGTGGTGTCCCTCTGGCTGGCAGAGGTGTTTGGGCTGGTATTTGCTCATGTTACCATCGCATGCTACTTCAGGGGGTTCATTGTAGTCATCAAGTAATCAAAACGTAAAAATTAAAGACCTCAAGTGATGGACTGGTGGCAAAATATTCTGTATAGGTGAGAGTGCAAAGGAGACAAAAACTTCACACAAGCTTCTCTTACTGGACTGCAAAGTTTGATCTTTAAGTAGTAAGATAGGCTTGTGTCACTGTGGGCTTTTATGTGATTGGGTTGGGGTTTTTTTATGGAATCAGTTTCTACTTAGAAAAGCTGTCCACTTGTACCTCACTATAGCATATGCTAATGGAGAGAGTCATAAGTTTTCAAAGACTTAATAAAACTGTTCAAAAGGCTTTTTAGCTTAATAATTCACCATCTGGTGTTCTCACTCTGATCTACAGTAGAACTATTCAGAATAAGATGCTTTTTTCTAAGAGCTTGTTTGACAAATCTGATTCCAGTGCTTCTAAAACTAGGTGAGAGAGGGATGGAGATAGAGAAGTGTGCATGAGTATGTGTGCCTTGCGGGGGAGGAAGGCTGGTTGTTTTGTTTTCCTTCCCAGTGGAAACTTAGATTGGGAATCTTTCAATAGCAAGGGAGAAAGTTCAAAGCATTTAAGCATTCATTAGTTTCATTAGCAGAACTCTTGAAAGTGTTAGCTCTTACTATTTATTTGTGACTAGTACTGAGTTCCCATCAAGAGCTTGTAACTCTAGAATAACGATTGAATACCATATCATATGATTGATGGGTTCCTTTCTTCTGTGACCTCAGGCAAGGTCAGCCTGTATATCCCATCTCGAGTGGATTCAGGCAGCCCTATCCATCCTCACTCTCAGTCGACCCTTCCATGTCCAGGTAGGTGTAGGAGGTGAATGACTGACTGGGGAGTAACTGCTGGCATTAGAGGGCAAGTTGCTCTTCTGCTTGCATCTTGGTCTGCCTTTGCTTGCTTTTCAGTCAGCTAAACCCTTATGCATTTTTATTTAACTTTTGTGTGTATATGCAGTTTGCCTGGATCCCACACTGGTCTCATTCAGAATTTTCTTGTCAGTCTCCGAAGTGTTGCAATGAGGAACACCCAGTGAATTGTCGACAATTAATTGAGCTGTTTCATCTGAAATGAGTCATTAGTTCATTTCTAGATGCAACACATGGTGTTGTGCATAGCATCCTTGGGTTTTGCTCATGTCAGTATGCAGCCAGGTGGATTGTCACTCTAGTCTGCCTTCTCTAGTCCCAATTTCAAAGTTGTTGGTAATTAGTCTTGAATCACATAGGTAATGCTCTGTGTGGAATCTTGCTCACAAGTAGGTATTCCATAGCCCAAAGCCACTAATGGCAGGGGATGCCAGCACAGTAACTGTACTGGTGTGTGACTCAGGCACTGTGTCTTTATGCCTAAGTGCAAGCAAGCAATGCTAATTGAGACTTGGCCATGACACACTCCAGACCTCCTATGCTCTGCTTTTGCATTCTTAAGACAGCTTCTGCATCCTGTGCTTGGTGTACAAGAGGTTGCAAAATACAATTCTTGGGGTTTTTTTCTGTCATCTGTAGAGAGACATCCTCCTGCACAGGGATTTAAGGCAGGCCACTTGATAAGTGGTAGGTCCTCTTACCTCTTCGTGTGTGGGCTCCTTTGGATTATCACTGTCCCTTCACTTCTTTACAGGGGAATGATAAGCATGTGCCTGTCAGGGTGATTGGGAAGAAAACACATTCTTTCTCCATGATAAAATCACTTGATTTAGTTACAGGGCTTTGTGTTTCCTTTATTTTGATCACATGAAGGAAAAGGGCAGCAAGGAGACTAGGGAATGGTGAAAGGCTGGATGGCATTCCTTAGCCATCAACCCTTCAGCAAAACTTTAGAGCATGAGCTTTTCCACCAGTTTAAAATGCAGCATGCAGGTTTTCTGCTGCGCCTGAGTTTGCAATGCTCAGCACCTTCAAGATCTGTCTCAGCTGTCCTTGAGAACTACCTGGGTTAGTAAGGTGGGATTATTCAGTTAGTGGTATTTTTGTTTTATTTTTCATTTTCCTTCTTGTACAAATGAAAGGAAGCTTTAATTAGGACCAAAAAATCTCTCCCTGCTCCCATCCTTCATCCAGGATGCAGGATTTTCAAAGTTTATTTTAAGCATTTGTGGTAAGAATAGTGGGTTCAGATGAAATGATGTTAAAATCTTTTACCTTAAGTACCTGGAAAAGTAAAGAGAGCCATCAGGGACTTCTTGAAAAGACTCTTCTTTCATTTTATTTTTTTCTGCATGGCAGTTTCCTCCTTTGCATTGGCTGGTGGTGGATATTTCAAGGATGTTTATATCTTGGTGTGGTAATACATTTTTTTGGTTAAGAAATGTGTATTTTTATTGCAAGATAGTGCAACAGTACAAATATTAAATATTTCTTGTGTGCATTGCTAAAAGCATTTGTCCAAAAGGTAATAAAACAACTTCTTTGCAACCAAAATGTTGACTCATTTTTTGTTTGTTTTTCTTGAATAATTGGGCTACAATGCACAAATCTTAGCCAAATATCTTTGGTGTGCTTTTTAAGAGTTGTCTTAATTGCAAGCTCCATAGCATTTGCATTCTTGGAGTGTCCTGCTGCTGTCAGACATGTTTGATGCTGTCTTCAGTGGGGTTACAGACCTTGCCTTGTTTTCTCTTTTAGGTTTTCACATCACATGATTCCTGGTCCTCCAGGCCCTCACACAACTGGAATCCCTCACCCAGCTATTGTAACACCTCAAGTAAAACAAGAACATCTGCACAACGACAGTGAGCTAATGCATGTGTGAGTCTGCCTTTCTGCTCTAGCCCTTGATGAATAAATGTTTGAGAACTAACTCCATCTGAAGAAGAATCAAGGATGCTTTAAAAAAGTGCCTTTCATGACCTCTTTGAATTTTAACTCTTCTCCTATAACTAAAACAGGGACTGTGGGCTGCTGTTTGATAAGGGTAATGAGAAGCCATTTTTCATTCCAGTCCAGCACTTTTAAGCTTTTGGCAACAACCATCTCCATTGAGCCATAATCATGGACCTGTCCAGATTTGACTGGTGCTTGAGTGTGAACTCACGAACTTCTGCTGGAGAAGTTCTTACCTGCAAAATTCACTAGTAAAAAGCAGTCTCATTGCTTAGTACTCAAGGCAAAAGACCTAGGAAAGAAGGGGATGAGAAGCTATTCTCCTGCCTGTCTTTTAGGGTACCAGGGATAGCCTTTCAAAAAGAGAATTGAGACAAGTTTGGAGCAGATTCACAAGTTAAATGTTACTTGCTAGAGAATGTCAACCTGACGTCCTCCCTGAATTTTAAACTAAAAGATATGAACGTGGATGGGACGTGACCACTGAAATTCTCATTCCTACTACTTAAGTGCTACTGTAATCACAAGTTAGTAATTTTCCATTGGATCTTTTTAGGTTGCAAGCAAATTAATGCTTTATTTCCTTTCCTTTCCCTTTCCCAACCACGTTTTAGGAAGCCTCAGCACGAACAGAGAAAAGAACAAGAGCCAAAAAGACCTCATATTAAGAAACCTCTGAATGCTTTCATGTTGTACATGAAAGAAATGAGAGCAAACGTTGTAGCAGAGTGTACTCTGAAAGAAAGTGCAGCTATCAACCAGATCCTTGGCAGAAGGGTATGTACAGCAGGGTTTGTGAGCGCTCACGTGTGCTGCTAATTTGTGTTTCCCTTTAGCTGGGTGTGAAGCCTGGCTTTCTGCTTGAGGTGATAACTGATGTGCAACTATCAAATTAGCTATAGAAGATAAAACATGCAACAAAAATAAAAACAGTATCTTGATTTGATTTTCTTTTTTCAGCATTAGCAACATCATCAAATTTGCGTTTGTTCCACTCATGTTATGGTGTCAGCATCTCAAACATTAAATACCCTCAGTCACACATGGAAGGAGCATTCTGATCACATTCTGGATCCTCCCTTAGGATAGTGTCCATCAGGGCAGGAAGGGATCATTCAGAGATGAACACTGGATGCCACTGGAGTTGAAACTCAAAAGTGAATATAACGTGGTCCAGTTGTAGCCATGCAGGTTGGTCATGTAGTCCAACATCTTCACAAAGCAGGTCCAGTTACATCAGGTTGCTCAGGAACCTTCCCAGCCAAGTTTTGAATGTCTCTGAAGCCATCAGCTGTGTACTGATGATCCCAGTTCATGCAGCAGAGCCATGCTGAGAGCTGTATGCTTCTGTGGCATGGTAGGTGTGTTTTGTGCATTCCAAGCTCACAAAAAACCCTATGCAGGCCAACTCACAGACAGCCTTTGTGCTCTCTGCCAGTGTTGTTCTTGCAAGGGAAGGCAGTAGAGGTAAATCCTCATTTTGCAATTGACTCCGAGAAATGAGGAAAGGGGTGACTTCTGTATTGATCTGAGTTTGAGTAGGGATTATTCAAATTCCCCGTGAATACCTCCTTTTGATGACTGACCAAAGCAGTATTGAGAGGCACTGTGACTCTCTGAAAACCCTGTACTTTTAAGTGGGAAATCTGTACATGACCTTAAAGTGCTCCTTTTATATTACAGTTGGAAGACTTTCCCCTCCAAACAGAGCTGAAATCTACTGGTACTTGTCCCAGTTCATGCAGTCTTCTGCTGTTGTTCTTGTTACCTCCCCTTAAAGGACATCTTGGTGCTTGCCTTTTCCATGCTTTCATGCAAGTCTCTAGTATCATGTATGGGCCATTTGCTTAAGAGTTGGACTTGATGATCCTCCAGAGTCCCTTCCAACTCACAGTATTCTGTGATCTGTGAATTACCCTTACAGGTGAAGGCAGTCCCAGATGACTGATCTTAGTTGCTTAGTGTGTCAGCCTTGTTTTCTTGGCCTGAACCAGGGCAGTGGCTTATTTATCTCTGTTTTGGTAAGGAATCAGCCTCAGTCTTGTGTGCTTTTTCTGCAGCTTGGACTCCTCTTTTCAAGTTACTGTTCTCTGTGAAAGTACCTCAAATTCCACTTCTCCTGTGGTGCAAACGGGGCATGAGTTATCCAATTGCTTGGGCGTTAATTATTGTCAAATGTTTTGTGTTCAGTCATCCTGGTCATTATTTACCCTGTGCTGTCCCAGAGGAGGAGCCACCTCTGTTCTCTTGAGCTGACACTTTGCGTGCTGCTGGGCTCCCTGATGCCACAGAATTGTGTTCAGCACCTTCCAGTTTTTGAATGTGCCTGCAGAGTTTGAGAGTTGCAGACAGGCTGAGCTCCTGGGCTCTCAACGACACATCCAATTTGCCAAGTCAAGGCAGACAAGAGCCATCCTCTGCTGTGTAACCAAACAACATATTAAATCATACAAAAGTGATGTGATCTGAAATCTTAGTTCTGTATGTTAGTCTTGTATGAATATCTTAATGATTTCTTAATGATTGTTTGTCTGGCTTTTGGATTTCTTTCATAACATGTCTCTTCTTACTTCCCCATGGATGTTGTCAAACAAGAAGATGTATCTAATGCTGCAGCAGTGGAACTTAATTCTAAATAAAAGGCCTTTACTCTTTCTGGTTCAGGGCTTTGATAGGTGTTTCAACAAGAACAAAATTATTAGATACTAATGTAGCTGGTACCTTTCCAAATGTGCAGGTTGTGAGGTATTTTTGTTTGCTTTTTTTTTTTGGGGGGGGGGTGTTTTTATTTTTAAGTACATGAAACCAGGAGATTTATTCTTGCTTGGCTACAGAGGTCAACTCATATAATTTGTAAGACTGTAGTTCTGTGATTTCTTTACCTTTGAAACTTTTGCAGTTGTCATTTCTTTTTCAATCAGAAAGCAGGTACCTTAAAGTTCAATACTTAGAAATACCTAAAAGTTGATTTTTGAACAGGTTTGCTGGTGCACAGAAAGCCTTCTGTGTTGGCATTGAAAACTTGTGTCTAGGGGCTGCTTGAAACCAAGAGAGCAGACCCTTCTGTCAAGGGGAGATTGCTGCCCTTTAAAAGCAGCACAAACTCCCTCAGTTCTGTCAGCAGCTAAAGGCTGGGTTTTGTTGCTGTTTTCTTGTTGGGGTTTGCTTTTGTTTGTTTGTTGGTTTTTTTAAGTAGTGTTGGGAGAGAACGGTTCTGTGAGCAGATTATTTGGTGAGCCCTGTTTCCATAAATAATTTTGTCTTGCTCAAGGCACTTGGCAGTTACAGAGCTGACAAATGCCTGAAAGTCGTTAATAAACACAGGTGCTTGTAATTGCTAATGGATTTCATTTTTGCAGTGGGGAAGGACTGAATCAAAGTCACTAAAACACTTGCTCAAGTCATCTGTTGCCTAGGTATAAGTTAGTTCCTAGTCTAAAGGTGTGTTTATTTTGTTTGCAGTGGCATGCTCTCTCCCGTGAAGAACAAGCAAAATATTATGAACTAGCTCGTAAAGAAAGGCAGCTACACATGCAGCTTTATCCAGGCTGGTCTGCAAGAGACAACTATGTAAGTCACTCACTTGAAGGTTCTTTTTTAAAATTCACTTTCTTTTTGTAACTTCTAAAATTATTATTGTTTATTCTTTTTCTCTGCAACTTGTGGAAAGTTCTGGATGAAGCGATGGTGAACATAGACATAACATAAACCTTATATTTGTTTTCACTTCAAGCACCCAGAAAACTTGGTATTTTGTTGTTGAGATGCTTTTTACAAAATTCACAGTTTTTGAGGGGAAAAAATAGCATGGAAAGTTTTTTTTTTCCTAAGACAATGGCCAGTACTGTGTGGAAGCTCATGTTGTACTGTACAGCTCTGAATTTTCCCTCATTTTCTATCTGATAACTTATTATCCAGAAATCTTTCTTAGACCTGTGAAAAAAGGGATGTTTTATTTTCAAGAGAACTGCAAGCTTAGGGGTCTCAATGCAGACTAAACTTCAGCTGAAATTAATTCAGAATGGTCCATCTGCAAATCTTGTGTAAGTAACCTTCATGGTAGAGCCTACTGTTATACATATATATATGTATGTATGTATATGTTAATAAGTTTTCTTACAGTTACTCTTGTTTTATAATTAAATATCAGATAGCCTACACTGCATGGTTGCACTCTGGTGCCTACAATGAGCTGTCAGTGTAGCCAAATGTGATGATATCAAACTCAGAAGCTGCAGTCCTGAGAGACTGATCCTAACCTGAGCTCTGAGCTCCTTTCTATCCCTCCATTAGATGTGACACCATCTCCTGGGATAGGAAATGTACATGCTATATTTGGCTCAATTTTCCTTCTGCATTAGGGGGACAGCAGTTTTTCTCTACTTCAGTGATGTCTTTGGACATTTAGGATTGAGGTATCTAAACACAGTGTTAACAGAAACTGTAGAAACTAGCAGAGAATGCATTGACACCGATACTATGTGATTATCTCTGAAGGAAATGCCCTGGTCTTGCTGACATGCGTGCCTAGTTTTGTAAGCACAGCCACAGCTGAAAGCCCTAGCACCTTCTTTCTGTCCTTTTTATATGGCCAATAAACTGTCCTGACACTACACAGGTAGGGTTTATTTCCAGTAGCCAGACCGTGTCAACAGAGCTGCCTTGAAGTATAGCTGGGAACAAACAGGGTCTTAGGGAAAGACTCCCTGGAAACTAGGGGGTTTAGCTTGTCTCAAATTGGCTTGCTGGAAAATCACACCACTTTGGAGTCTTGTCAGCTCGTGCTTACTGGACATCAGGCTCAGGATGGTCCTCCTGTGCTGTTTGGTCATGTTGGCTTTGAGAAACCCTGCCCCAGCCTGTGCCACACAGCACGAGCAGCGGACCTGCGCTTTCTGAAATGCCTCGACAGACATTTGGAGAGTGTGAGGTGGCACGTATGAGTTATCTCTTTGATGTGCTTCCAGCCTACATCCTGTGTGGAAGTATAGCTCTGACATACTCCAGTCCTGTATGTTACAATGAAGAACTCTGCTGGCTTCCTCCTGCAGCCCTCCCCTCTGCCTCTCCAGGAATGCACACGCTCTGCAGTGGTGGTTAGACAGTGATCATAGGAGAGCACAGTTTATCACTGAAACCTTTTCAGATATATGGCATCTTTTTTTTTTTTCTCTTTGGTTTTCCTAACTTAGGCCGTCAAAAAGTGAAATTTTAATTATTTATCACAGGTATTACTGCAGTGTTTTGAGGGTTGGAAGTTACTTAGGGATGGTTCTTCTGTTTCACAAAACAGTACAAGTGAAAAAAGTGTACTGTTTGGTTTTACTTCTTCTATTTTGGTTTGCCTGGTTTTAGGAATTTTGCCTGATTTTAGGAATTCGAAGAAAATGTTAAACATTGTTATTCAACTGTTGAAACTATCTTGTTCATATCTTTTTATTACTGGTACCCAAAGCAGTCATGCAAAATTGTGTGGTAGACATGAGAAGCACAATGTTACAATATTTTCACAATGTGAGGGTCGATGTGTGCTGCAGTTGTCAGAAACTATCTTACTTGGGAATGCTGACAACTAGTTTTCAGCCCAGCCTCCTATTTGTTCACTTGTGTTATCTCATAGGTAGATCTCAGATCAGCTTTCAGTTTATGTTTTAGCACTTGAAGTCAGCCTGACATAGAGAACAAAACAAATCTTCCTCCCAAGACTTTTCCGTGTTAACATCTGCACTAATGCACTTTCCTCTCAAAAAAGCATTGCATTGGTGCCTAAGAGATAAAGCATATTGCTGGGAGCTCCCCAGAGCCCTTGAAATGTGTTTTCCAACTTGTAGTCTTGGTCCTGACTTTGGAATCTTGCTCACAAGGCATTGGCCAGCCCAGTTGCCAGCCTTGGGATAAATAAGGACAGGAGCTTGAGAGTCAGGCAGGCCCAGACTGTCAGAGCAGAGTGGAGGCTACTTAAGTTCATGTGCTGGAGCTTCACCACAGCCTGTATTTGGAGTCCTCCCTTGCTGTCCTATCAATCAGTGAGCACTGCAGGGGTTTGAGGTGGTTTCTCACATCACCTACTGTCCATCCCAGTACTTTGCAGAGGCAGCTTGTGGAAAGATGTGTCCCAGCACCTCAGCCCTTCCCCTCTGAGGCCACTGTGTGTGTGTGGCATGCTCTGTGCTGGGACATGCAGCTGCCAGCCTTGAGGGTGGGGGCCAGAGGATGGACAGCAGGCTGCAGCCCTGCTCACAGCAACTGCATCAGCCTTTGCCAGAGCTCATCTGTTGCAGCCTGTCTGGAGGCTTCTTTAAAATATGAATGGATATGATTTTTTCCTAAAACACACACAAAATGCTTTCACTGATTATAGAGGGCAATAAAGACAAGACATATGGAGGAATATCAGTGGTGGTTAAGGTGATGCAAGATGATTGAGGTTTAAAATTGTGGGTCTAAGCTGACCTTTTGTTTCAGTTGATAGACTGTGTGAAGCAGGAGCTATGGCCATTTCCATAGATGGGGTGCAGGAGAAGGCTCAGTGTGTAGGTTGGCAGGCTGTGGCCAGTGTGGTCTCTCAGAAAGACAGCTGCCAGGCACTTATTTGTGTTCTGCACTTCAGCCATGTTAAGGGTGCTCTGCTGTACAGTCTCTGCTGTTTGGTTATTGCAGAGCGTGCTCTCTAGGCACAGCCACACCAGACTTGGCTTTGGTTCAGGTACCAGCATTATCAGAACAGTTTTTGTTGGCTGGTTTGCACCCTGGAGACAAGTGATGGTCGTCCTAGGTACTTTCAACACCCTGTCTGCTCCTACCATGTATGACAGTGTAAGTATCTGAATGTGTGCAGAGTTCTTGTAAGAGCCATAAATTATGATATCAACATATGTGTCATCAGATTATTGAGCGTGAGAAGTCTTTTCGGTGCTTGCAGCTGCCAGTGTTAGTTGAAAAACTGCCAGAAATTGTAATTCCATGTGGATATAAATATATGTATTGCTGATGTGCATATTTCTCCATAGATGCTCAGAGCAAACTTTGTTACCATTGAACTCGTTAAAATTGGGAGAGAAAAGCTACCCTGAAAATAATTGGGTTTTTCCCTAACATTTTCAGTGTCCAGATGACTTTTGCTGTGAGGTAAGTGACAAAAAAGAAGTTCTGTGAATGGCATGATAAAATTTCCTGTTTTTCAGGGGAAGAAAAAGAAGAGGAAGAGAGAAAAGTTGCAGGAATCAGCATCAGGTAGGCCATGACCACCTCTTACTTGCCATTCACCTCAGGTATATTTTAGAAACCAGGGCTTGCGCTATTTAATTTTTACGAGCTTTCGTCTAACACTTGCTTCTGATGGATGTTTGAAGATATTTCACTTGGAATGTAAGCTTGTGAACATGCACACAACCCATGCCTGCTTTCCCTTACAACTTTCTGAGTCCTGATGGCATCAACATCTTTGGCTGAACTTATGCATTGCTGCAAACCCTGTCCTGTTTTACCTTTGCTTTTCTCCTCAATCCGTGTTGTGTCATCTTTAGACTTAACTATGGCTCAAATACTGTGTGGTATTTTTGGACACTGGAAGCTTTACACAGACCTTTTGTAGTAACTGCATTTTATCTCACTGTATTTTACATTCCTTTGTACACTAACAGCTGCCTAGTAGGTTGGCTAAAAGCATCACTGAGGTTTCCTTTTTGTCTTTAAAATATGTATAAAGAAACATCCTGTTTTCCCCAACAAAAAATGGCTGGTATAAGAACCATAAAAAAACCCAAACAACAAAACCAAAAAAATACACACAAAAATTCCATGTAACACTGTAGCAAACAAACTTACTTGGAATGTGCAAAAACTCTGTAACAGAAATTTGTTAAAGGAAAACAATCTTCTACAGGTACAGGCCCCAGAATGACAGCTGCCTACATCTGAAGCATGGTAAGAACATCTCTAAAGCTTTCCTGCTGATAAAACTGAATTGTAAAATATGGCTTCTTATAAATTTTATGCAATAATATGGATTTAGCAAAAATTGCAAAACTACCATATCCCAAAGCTAATGTTACTTTGATTACTGATGGTTTTTATACCGGCTATCTATTAGATGTTCACCATTTCACTGCTTAACCGTAATATTTTCAAATTGATCACACCTCACTGACTCAATGCAAGTCTGCCTGTGAACCAGGGCTGGGTTTATTAAGTGGTGCAAGCCCTCCCAGACTGTCACAGCTCATATAAGAGCAGGGTAAATGCTGGCTTTGAAGCACATTTTATGTCCTGACATCAACAAGATTCTGGCTGGCTGGGTACACCTTTTAAAAACAATTTATTCACCTGTATACTAACAAAACACCTGCTAAGAAAATGGGACTGTATTTCAGTTGTTTCAAGAATTTCTCCCACAGCTGTAACAGTGATATTTCATTTTTGGCGCAGGTTGGGGTTTTTTGTGGTTGTTGTATTTCCAGCATGTGTTTTCTTTCTTTATATCATATTACCTGCACTGAAGGTGGAATGCCTAGTGATTACACATGTGCAATAACACCATCTAGTCAGCTTGTGAGTGCACACAGTACCACAGTGAGATTCTAATTTCTCAGTGTCTGTGTTGGAAGGCTGGTCCTTCTCTTTCTGTCAGTGTGATGTGTTTTCTAGTAGGAATGGCATTAATTTGAAGTAATAGTAGCTTCTAAGCTACTAACCTATATTGCACTTGGGAGATCCCCAAGAATTCCAGGAATCATACAAAAAAACCAACAAAACCCCGACTTTTCCAAATCACCTACATGCTGTATGAGAAACGGGCTCTGTCCTCTTCCTCTGCCTTGTTTGGCCACGGGTTCCCTGTGGTACTCAAGAGCAGTCAGCAAAGCAGGCTCCTGTTGGTCTTCTGCTCTGCTTGGACTTTCTAGGCCTGAGAAAGCCAACTTCACTTTGCTGTGTGCAGTGTGTCAGTCAGCAGTCAGCATGATTCAAGCCTCTTCTGAAGTTATGCCATTATGCTGGTTAGTCTAAACTTAAGACTTTGGTGGTGTGTTTGTTGGGTTTTTTTAAGCTAAAGTAAAGTGAAAAGACAAAATTTGTGCTCTTTTTTTCTTCCTAATAAGCAGAAGTTTTTCAGGCAAGCAGGCAACCTTACCCTTTGCAATGTGCCTGAGTCATGCTGCTTTGAGATGTGGATTGCAGTGTTGGGGTTCTGTAGCCTATACAACAAATGTAGCTGTAAAATATTGTTACTTAGAGCATTATACCTACTGAAAAATAAAGTGCTTTAACCTTGAGTTTTATAATGGATATTTCAGCTTAGTTGCCCAGGTCCATGACTGTTGTGAATATTTTTCACTTTGATCTTAACACAGTACCAGTAGGCAAAATACTCATAATTTTATCTGAACTCATGCAGAGTATTTGATTGGGATTGGAATACAACTAAGGTTCAAGTGACAGCGTAAAACCAGGAAATACTTGGTTTCTTGGATGTCTTACAGTCTTGCCTATGCTGACCTACTTTTGTTGGAGTTTCTCTGCATTTTCGGTATTACAGGTTGAATGTTCTGAGTGTGGAGGTTTTTCCTCTCCCTTTGACCTTTACACTGCTGCCTTCCTGTGTCCTCTTAGGCTTTGTAACAGTGTGGAAACTGTTGGCAATATCTGTCTCTCTGTCTTCAGGCAATTTGTAACACAGAGTCTGAGAACAGTAGTATGTTCTTCAGGGAAGGGGAAGTGTGCTGTTGACTCTATATGCATGTGAAGGCAGCCTCTCTTAAGTGTTTCATGCTGAGTGAATGATCTGCACTGGAGATGTGCAGATGTGCTCTTGCTGGAAGTAGATGCACAGAATGATTTAGGAAACCTGAATCAACCAGACTTCAAAGTAAACTTCTGAAGGTTAAGGCTCTTGCCCTCTGCAGGCCTAATCCAAAGAATGTTTTGCCCACAAGCATAATATCTTACCAGGCCCACAGCAGAGCTGTTGTAGTCTTTACTGGATGGAGATAATAAGTTTGGGAATAGCTTTCTTACTCGTGTGGATGGTGTAAGGAAGAGGGAGAAGGAGGGTGGGAGGTCTGGGAAGGAGACAAGCGTTCTGTTATCTGAGAAGAATCAGAAATGAGTAGGTGGCAAGACCAAAGAAAGAATCTCAAGATCAGCACAAAGGAGATCAACCAGGGCTGTAATTACAGTGATGTAAGTGAGAAGGATGAAATGGTGGGAGGGTTGTGTGGTGGGATGTTCAGAGGAAAGTAACGGAAGAGACATGCAAACAGACATGATTTAAGATACTGTGATAGTTTTGGGTGTGGGGTTTTTGTTGTTTTTTTTTTTTTTTTTTTTGTCCATGAACATTCAGCAAGTAACTGATTTTTAAGGTGGACCTCTAATCCTGCTTTATGACTTGAACATGAATAGAGTGGTAAAGTCAAGGTGGTAGCATTAAGTTGCCCCTTTTCCAAGAGTTGTACACAGCGGGAGGCATCTTATGGCTTCACTGCTTAGGATTGAACAGAGTTCTGTGAACTCCAGCCTACTGAAGGGCCAATCTGTAAAACACTTCAGAATGTACTAGGAATACTGTGACCCTCTGCACCAGTCTTTGCTATATTATCCTGGGTTACTCCAAAGTGTGTCCTTCAAGAGTTGTGGAACTGTCCCCGGAAGGATTTTGTTTACAGTTGATGTGGCCCAACAAACTGTTTGAAATAACTTTGATTTATTGAAGAAATAAGTGTTATTTATTCTCTTCTTTTGAAATCAACCAAGAGTGGAACTAAGCTTGATAATGCTAAAAAATAAATTGAGTTGAGGCCAGGGAGGGAAGGAGAAATGAGAAAAGCTAAGATAAAGGACAATGTAGAGATCACCTGTTGAGCACCTTTCTGAAAGGTGAGTGGTGGTTTTTTTTTACTTTAAGCACAGCCTTCTAGGAGATTTGTAAATAGAACCAATTCTGTCTTGGAAGTGGAGATTTCTAATTTCCTATCCAGTCTGACTTTTGGAAGAAAAAAAACCCAGTGATTTTTAGCATCTCATGAGTATTTTAAAATCAGCAAGGAAATAGAAGGGTACTAAGAAAAATTCCTCATTGTTCTGCAGCATGGAAGTACTTAACTTCTTATGACTTGCTCTGTACAGAACTCCAAAAGGCTCATCATTCAACATATGGCAGGATGCAATTGGGAAACTACATAATTTAACATTGTGTTTTGGCATATCTTCAAGGGCTAAAAAGAGTGATAGAGAAGCTTAATAGACATCTGAAAACCTGTGAGAAGTTTATTTGTGGCTTGCAAAATTCCGTGACAATTAGCATCTACATTAGCAAAGCTTTCAAAACCAAGAAAACTTGACTAATACTGATTTGCAATCAGAAGTACTTAAAAGGATCAGATTAAGACCATTTAACTTTGAACAATGAATTATCTTAACATTTCAAACTTCCTATGTGGAAATTTGAGCCAAATTTCAGCACAGAAGTGATTCTTGGGCAGTAGTTTATGACTGGATTATGTTTTCCCTATTACGTAAAAATAAACTGGAGTGAGGCTGTGAAAGCAGACTATAAAATGGACCAGCCAGAATAGTGTGGAAAAGAAGTGTCTGATGACTGTGGTTGTGGTTGACCATGGGTTTCTGGCCAGCATCTGAGAAAGGAGATGCAAAGAGGATGTGGTACCTTCCTTTCTGAGGCATGTTTTCAAACCTGGGTTGTCTTGAAATTGCTGCTGGAGTAGTTCAAATTGAAACACATGCTCCACCCCTTTCCATAGCTCTTGACTGCTCAGAAGCTTTAAACAGAGCTTGGAGAACTTGCACAGAAGTTAGTCTCTGTAAGAATGTGTGTGGTGATGGTGGTGCAGAGATTTGTCCTGATTTGCTTTAAAAATTGTTTCCTGTGTGACCCATATTTCCCTATTCCCCATTTGCCTATGAATAGTGGCCTTCAGCACAGGCAAGAGGGACAGAATGAGCAGAAGAAAATTTTCTTGATCAAAATATTTGTATTATTTCAGATAGATATAAAATTTCCATAGAAAATGAGTATAGCAATCAGACAGATCCTGGCTAGGATGGAAAGGGACCTTAAAGTTCCAATGCCTCCCCACCATGGCCAGGGACACCTTCCACTAGACCAGGTTATTCAAAGCCTCATCAAATCTGGCCTTGAACACTTCCAGAGATGGGGCAACTTCCCTGGGCCTCACCACCCTCACATTAAAAAATTTTCTTCCTAATATCCAATC